ACAAGATATCGTAGTGAAACTTATAGCTTCACCTCCCATGTAGGTACATCAAATATCACGAAGGCTGAAATGAACGTGGAACTTCATACACAGGCAGAATCTCGAGGACTAGCAAGTTTTATGAGCCGTTGGACAAAAATATCCGTCAACACCCAGTACCATATCTTACGCCGCGAATGTCGTCTCCAATACTAACCCGAATCTCAAAGTAAACGCTGTTACTAAAACTTTTTCCTAAGAACACATCAATACGCCTCCGCTCTTGCATTGTCCGGCCGCTGCTGACACGAATATCGTTAGATACCTTACACTCAAAATTTGCATGCCAGAGCTTCTACTTTGGCCTCGACTCAACTGCGCTCTTGCCCCAGCGTATGTTTAGATCAGCATACCTGCATCACAAATAAAATTTCTTGATTGAGCCCTTCGCAGCCATAGTGTTTCTTGGAGGAATGAGCCTCGACCTGGAGCGGCTGCTGAAACCGGGCTTGGTTATTCCAAAGCGACTTGCATGCCTGCAACTGTTTTCACCATGCCACAACAACTGAGCAGTAATAGCAATTTGAATCTGAGCATTTGTTAAGGAAAATTAAAGTCGTGAATGCCGTACGGCCTGCTGTCAGCTGTCAAGAACCTCAAATCACAGTCCGATCCTATAGGCGTGCGCTTTCTAAGGTACAGTCAGGCTTCTATCCAGCATGTGCATCTTGGCGCTTCGCACTTATTATGTCTTTCGCCTGCGCTGCGGATGAGAACCGCGTATAAATTTGGTGGCCCCATCGACTACCAAGACTACCTAGCTAGAAAGTCCAACATCTGAACAGCCATCCTGTGACTGGCTGAATTCTGCTCCTTCGCGCGCGTGCTTCGCGTAGACGTGCTCGTTTCGGTTGGATGTCCCCTACCCTCTCGCAAGTTGTCACAGATACGTAATTGATGGGCAATTGCTGCCGCGACCTGGATATGGCATCCCGGGGAAGTCGAACCGGAGGTGACAATCGGAGCCGATGAAGCGGGGTAGCCCGGACACCCCTTTCCCAGCGGAATGCCGTGGCGGAAAGATCTTGTCGGCATGGTTCCTCATATCCGTATGTTCCCCTTCGACTCTTGCTTTCTGGATTTTCTCATTTTTCAGCACTAGACATCTTCTCGCAATACCTACTGCCAATCTGTCGATGCTGCTATGGGGTCCAAGACATCAGAAGACGACCGTCGTGATCACAGTATGACTCTTACAAATTACTCCGGCCAGGAGACACGCTGACTTCATCAGATGATGCACCATATTCGAAGAAAATCCCTCAGGCCGGTGGTCTTCCACGAGGCGCTCACATCGCCCGTAACGGGGACAGCGCCTTCGCTAGTGGCGGCGGCGACGACGACAGCGACGACGACGCTGCCTTACGACCCCTGGCGCAATTGAACCCTGATGTTCCGTCGAATGAAACTGAATTATGCAAGAAGAGGCGGAAGCAGACCAAAAAGAAGAAGAAGAAGAAGAAGAAGAGGTCTGCCGCGGTGCACGGCCAGCAGACTTCGCCACCTCGTATTCCTCTCAGCGATCTCTTTCCCACGGCGGATTACCCCGAAGGTGAGATACAGAGCTACACCAGGGCTCCCGCAGCCGTGGCTGAAATGCATTACAACGGCGTACAGGAGGCACAGGACAGCGAATTCTTCTGCAACTATCGGAAAGCGGCCGAGGTCCATCGTCAGGCGCGTAAATGGGTCCACGACACTGTGCGTCCCGGTCAAGACCTCCTCAGTATTGCCGAGGGTATTGAAGACAGTATTCGTTCTCTCCTCGGCAACTCTGGGCTTGGACTGGGTGATGGTCTGCGTTCAGGCATGGGCTTCCCTACAGGTCTGTGCCTCAATCACCAGACGGCACACTACACTCCAAACCCTGGGCAGAAGGCTGTTGTACTGCAGGAGCAGGATGTCATGAAGGTCGATTTCGGTGTCCACATAAACGGCTGGATCGTTGATAGCGCATTCACCATGGCATTCGACCCCACGTACGACAACCTCCTGGCGGCTGTCAAGGAGGCGACCAACGAAGGTGTCAAAGCCACGGGGATCGACGTACGCATTTGTGATGTTAGCGCTGCCATTCACGAGACGATGGAGAGCTATGAAGTCGAGATAAGGGGCAAGACGTTTCCTGTCAAGCCGGTGAAAAACATATGCGCCCACAACATCAAGCACTACCAAATCCACGGCGGCAAATCGATTCCCTTCATCCGCAACTCGGATCAGACAAAGATGGAGGCGGGTGAGGTTTTTGCTATTGAAACATTCGGATCCACAGGTCGTGCCTATCTTCGCGATGATGTGAGTCTCTCTCTCCCCATTAGTACGAACTAAATCCCTAACCCGTAATCAGATCGGTGTGTACGGGTATGGTTTGCAAAGCAACGCACCGTTGGCTGGACAATTGCCCCTCGCGTCTGCCAAACGACTGCACAAGACAATCCGCGAGAACTTTGGTACTATTGTCTTCTGTCGTCGATATCTTGATCGACTTGGGCAAGAAAAGTACCTGGCCGGAGTTCGTCTCTCTTAATTTGAACATATTGGCCAATAATGCTGACAGCTATAGATGAATTGCCTTGTCTCAAATGGCATCGTCGAGTCCTATGCTCCGCTGAGAGATATTGAGGGATCGTACTCGGCGCAGTTTGAACACGTAAGCTTCCAGGTTGTAATGAAGGTAACGCGCAACTGATGAATGCCCTAGACCATTGTCCTACGTGAGACACATAAGGAGGTCCTCAGTCGTGGGGACGACTACTAAGGCAGTAACATGGTGACTGCTGCTCCTTCTCTGCGTCGCCCGACCAACCAAGGATCCTTATGCAGGGCGCTGGTCTTCCTTGGCAACAACCACCATACCGTGACGCATGGTGTGGTGGTAAAAGCCTAAGAAATACCCGTAAGGTCAGGCCCTCAGGGAAGACCAGTTCAGGGCGCGCAGGTCAGGAAGGCGCGTAGAGGGGCTCAGGGGTTCGACGCCGGCACACGGCCAAAAGGGAAATCCTTTTGCGTTTTTGTGCCGTTTGTTGTCATTGTGTCAAGGCTCTCTCTCCCCCCAACCCCCTTTTTCTTTTTTGCTTTGCATTGATGGCCGCCGAAACTTGGATGGGCTTTCGTGCTTTGAGAACATGTAGTATACTGCCGATGACGTTGCTGATATGTACCCCTCGGTATTGGTTTTTTCCCATTGGGTTTCCCAATACTTCCGCGCGAATGCGGAGGGATAAGTTTTCTCAGTAGTCTTTTATGAATCCTACGCTTTTGCAACTGTTTCGGACCTGGTATCGCTGGCGGTTATCGCTCAGCGACCGCTCTGGTCAGTGTTCCTCCGCCTGACACTCCATCTGGCCTCTCAATATCAAGAATCTGTTCAATCCTATCCCTGCGCATCACGTTGCCCATAGGATTCAGCACACCTAATATTTCTGATGTCAAACCCTCGTGAAGGGTTCTATAGTCACAACTTTGGATGCAGCCCAGAGGTCCATCATCGCCTTGGATCCTTCATAGAAAATCGACCAAGGCACGCGGACATAACCTGTCAAGCTCTAGAAAGTACGAAGGTTGTTTCCCTATGCGTTCAGCGTCATGAGGGCATTGGTTAACGGCATCACAGCATTCACATGGAACCAGTGGCCAGCTATATCAAGCCAAGTCTACAGCAAAATTGAAATCACCCTACATCATGTGACGATATCGGCACATGGACCAACGGTGGGTACAGTAAGACGCTAAGCCCAACGAATTCGGCGCCATGGGCCGAGAATCCACGTCCGCAGCGATTAATCTCTAAAATTGTGACGCGGTGCACTCATTTGAATGGTCATCGTCCACGTTTCGCGCCACATGGCCGCAATCGCAGCGTACAGGTAGGCATCTGCTCGTAGACACCAATTGCTGCGCCTCCTTGGCAATGCCGGCACATTGAAGCCTGTCACTCTCCCGCTCTTGGCATTCCAAGCCGTCGGGCTCCCAGAGCTGAACATCCACGACGCGACGCGACGACATCATCTGATGTCTGCGCCGCCACGCACCACTCACGGCAGATCGGCTGCCGGCACCAAATGGGCCGCTCCAGAGTGAAGGACTGCAGTGCTTGTTATAGGTAAGCGAGGACTAGGCAGAGAAACAGGGGGACTGTAGCAGGCGGACGCCATGCCGCTCGGCCGTCCCCATCTCTCTTCTGTGAAATTGGCTTACGCCCTTAGCCCGGCGCCAGAGGAAGGCCGTTCGTCAGCCGCATGGCCTTCGTCGCGTAGGAGACGCCATGAATATTTCTCCCAGTTTTGGGGCGGGGGCGCCACCATGTCTCAAGATGGGTTATCCCTTGTTCAGAGTGTCGATCAGTTGTCGCGCGACTCATTCGACGTGCTGAAGGGAATCCCTGAGGCGTTCTACGAAGGCGAGCTGTGGACGAGAGAACCACTTCGTGCCAACCTTGCTGGTGGCTTGCCCGATGTGGATAGAGAAGGCGAGCATAGCAGCCGCTAGAGACGGACAGGACTGGCAGAACGCCCTACCTGGCCCCTAGTGCGATGTTTATGCCTGGGCTAAGAGCATCGGCCAGCCCATGTCTTGGTCGTCAGACCCTGTGCCCCGTCAGGGACAAGCTCGACGTAGGGCTGTGCAGTCAGAAGCTTTGTGGGGATCACAGACCTCGCTGTCGCCGTGACTGGAGTGAGCGGCCTTAATCTCCCGATGTGGAACCCCCATGTCCGGCGTTTCTCGCTTGAAGCCGTTGCCGCCTGGATTCTGGAGCCTGGGCTGAACATGGCAAGGGACCTAGCTCATTGAAGGATCAGGACGAAGGGGTTGAAAAGGGCAGACCTCCCGTGCCTGGGGCTTGGTGTCGCTTAGACAGCAACGTTCCTCGTATCTGACATTTTACTCGGTTCTTTCACTCGTCAATTTCCAATACACAAACGACTTGCTCAGTCTCACCTTGCAACATTCGCACCATCAAAATGCAGTCCTCCATCCTCCTCATCGCCTCCGCGGCTGCCCTCGCCGCGGCCACGGCGCCCACCAACAACATCCACGCCCGCTCCCTGGCCTTCTTCCGTCGCCAGGACTCGACCCCCTCGGCCGAGTGCCTCTCCGCCGCCATCGACATCGTGTCCAGCATCCCCACCCCCGCCGCCGACGTCCTCGCCTACCTCGCCACGGCGCCCGACTCGGTGACCTCCGACCCCTGCCGCATCACCTTCCCCGCCTCCCTCTCCTCTGAGGTCGAGGACTGGGTCACCTCGCTGTCGGCCTTCTCCTCCGAGTCGGCCTCCGCCCTCTCGAGCATCATCTCCGAGTGCGGCGGCGCCGACGCCACCGACCTCGGCGCCGGCGTCTGCGCCTCCGAGCCTGCCTTTGTCTACGTCAACGGCGGCGCCTCCGGCACCGCCGCCGCCACTTCGGCCCAGGAGACGGGCTCCTCGGGCGCGGCCCCTACCACCGCCGGCGGCGCGGCCACGACGCGCTCCACTACCGCGTCGGCCTCCCAGTCCACTGGCGCCGCCGCCACGACTGCTGGCAACGATTCTGGCGCTGCTGACCGTCTGCCTTTCGGTGCCGCCGTCGTCGCTGTCGCTGGCGTTGTCGGCATCATTGCTGCCCTCTAAGTGCCATGAGCGAGATGTCATGGGATAGGAGATTGAATAGATTTTTGTATCAAACCCGGGCTATAGCCTCTTCTTAATGTCTGTCTACCTAGGCAGAGCTATTTAGTTTCCAATCCTGAATGCCATGTCATAAATCATGAGTTCCACATTGTGCCCTTGCTGAGACCCTCATGCTCGACCCCCAAGGAACAACTCGGCTCAGTAGTCCCGGACAGGCCAAGGAGCCTCAATCTTTGCCTTCTCGGGGTTGGTGCACCTGTCCGCCAGCGCAGCCTTGGCCTCCGGCGAGTCAAACGGCACGCAGTCCACTCCGAGGCCGCCTTCAACACCGTCGCAAATGATAACCGAGGGGCCGCCGCAGGGCGACGTGACGTTAAAGTTGACAAACTTGACATTTTCGCAGCCTGCGCCCTCAGCAGGCGAGCAGCTGACGCGCGCAACAGCACGGCCACGGACACCGGACGAGTAGCCTTCAAAATTCTCAAATAGGACGTTGGAGACCTTCATCTTGGATGGGAACTTGCGGCACGTCTCGGCATTGACGTTGAAGTAGCACGAGTCGAGGAAGATAGGCCAGTCGTCGTTGGCCGAATAGAAGTTGCGGAACGTGATGTTGTCAACGAATCCCTCGGCGACGTTCTCACCAGCCCAGACCTTGATGCGGGCGCCGTTGTTACCGTTAAGCATCCAGACATTCTCAATGACAACGTCCTTGACGATGACATACTCGCCCTCATACTGGCCGAGCGAACCGATCGACTGTCCGTGTGAGTTGTTGCAGTACATTGTGTCCACGTGAATGTCGGTGCTGTTGGTCTTGGGCGAGAAGCAGTCGTCGTCCGAATCGACCCAGACGCGGTTGATGCGAATATGATCAACGTTAAGGGAGTTGAAAAAGTCGCCGTTCTTAGGCTCGACACCGGCGCGGTTCGATTTCGCTGAGATGATTACGTCCTCGTAGAAGATATTGGTTGCTTTCAAAAGTCAGTCTTTACCATTTCGCATCAGTTGGTGGTAGACGTACAATCGACGATAAAGTTGTGCCAAACGGGCGAGTTCTTCATGAGAATGCCTTCAACGTGCAGGTTGTCAATGTGCTCTGCAAAGAAAAGCACAGGGCGGAGGTAGTCGTTGTCAGGGTCAAGGATCCTGCTTGTGTCAGTCTCGGGTCTACAGTCAATCGAAATGAAGAACACAGAACACTTACTCGGCGCCCGAGAACTCATTCCACCAGCGCTGGCCCTGTCCATCGATGGTACCCTCGCCATAGATCCTGACATCCTTGCCACCCCATTTCCAAAACATAAGCGAGCGCTGGAAAGGGTGGTAGAAGGCGTTCTTCTGCCACTTCTCAACATTGTTGGTGAACTGGATGGTGCCCTCGAGGTGGATGTGAATGTCGTTGAGGAAGGTCAGATCAAGGGGCTCATCGATGACGAAGAGCTGATCCTTGGGCAGGTAGACAGTACCACCATTGTTGGCGCTCTTGATGGCATTGAGAAGATCGGCTGAGATATCGTCCTCGGCGTTCTCGGAGGCGCGAGGCGTGAAGGTCTTGCGGCAGTGGGGAGCACGCTTCGCAACAGGATGCTTCTCACGGAACTCTTGAACATTGCGAGGAACGCCTGCGGGGAGGTCGACAGCTACGGCGATCACCGAGGTAGCAGCCGCAAGGGCAGTAAAGAGGGCGGAGACCTTCATCTTGGGCGTGCTGTTGAACGGGGGCTTGATGGCACTGGGTCGAATTCAGCGTGATCCGACAGAGAGTCTGGCCAGGTAGAGCAGCCGACGACTCTTCTTATACTCCGAACACGCTGCATCATGGTGTTGGCGCGATGTGTCGTCTTGGCGCTGCGTTCTGTGTGGAGATTGCTCTCAATCTGCGATATTCTGCACCTTTGTGGTGTCGGAAACCCTTCGGATGGCTGGTTCGGGAGCTGCCCCCGGGAAAGAGGTGATGCCAAGCATTTTAAATATGTACGCAGGAGAGTAGTTCCCCGCAGTCGTGATGGCCCTGGTCATTTGCTTGTTCGCCCTGGTGCCGAGTTGGCGATGAAGATGCTGGGAAGGCTTCCTCCACTGATGGATTCGCGGTGACAGACAGACCCATTGCAGGCAAGGCGAAGCGAGGTCCCACCTATCCAGACGTGCCGTTTCTTTGTTAGCCTTGATTTGTGACAATGGCATACATCATGGTCGAGGCCATGAAGAGTGCTGGCAGGCGTGATGAATGGGGAATGTTGCTTGGAAGGGGTTGATGGTTGGCGGGATATCTATGTGGTGGAATTGGCGGGGAAGGCAATCGTAACGGAGAAATTCCCCACGATCTTTCTCCTCTTTCTTGCCCTTGCTACTCTCACCCGCCCCACTACATGATCAGACCAGCCATACTCTGTCGCAACATCACACTCTTACTGCCACCGAAGATCGTCGAGACGTACAATACCAAGACGTACTACATATACCAAGATGCCACCACTCCCGACCCAAGGCAATTCACAACGTCAGGTCTTGGCAGAGCCTCCAAGCCACCAGGCGCCACACTCGACGCCAATGCTCTAGATGCCGAGTATCCATCCTCTCTGGGCCAACAAACAGTCGCCGGAACCCTTGGACAACAGACTGCCGCCCCCCCACCCATGGACCGCCAAGAGTCTACCCCCGCAGTCTGCCTTTATCCTGTCGCTCTTGTTCTGACTGGAGCCCCTCTCCATTGGCGTACCTGGCCAACGTGCCTGGCCAACGTGCCAACCCATGGCGCGCAGCTTTCGGTACGCTACCGACGAGCAGACGTAAGCTTCGTGGAGTTCATGCCTGCCAACCGCCTTGGGACCTGACAACAGTGGATGGAAAATCGTCTTCCGATGCTGCTTATCTGGATGTGGCACGCACTGGGACGCGTTGCTACTTCTTCTTGGCTTCGCAAGCCCTGGTCAGCGCCCTTGAGCGTTGCCTCTTAGGGGCACCGGCCGGCCGGACCGACCCATCGCCATGGTTGAGAGGTGATTCCGGAAAACCAAGAAATACTAATTGCGGGGTCGGCAGAAGGCGGAAAACCACGCTTTTCGCAGACGCATCACCGACCGGCTGTTCGGGACATCGTAGGTAGGCGGGAATTCGAAGAAAAAAGGCAGTATGCCCTCAAGGCACTTGCATTACGTTGTCCGTCAACGCTGAAATACTTGTCACACCCGCACGCCCGAGTACCCAATACGCCCTCTGCTTCTCTTGCGCTTCTCATCTAGTTACTGAATCAACTCGGATCATGCCGAGGCGCAGTGCCCGCCATCCACCCGAAGGTCGGCACCCGTCATGAACCGGCTACCCTCCGACAGCAGGAACACAGCCGGCGCCTTGAAGTCTTCGGGTACGCCAAGTCGGTTGAGCATGGCGCCGTGCATCCACGTCTTCTCGACCTCTGGCTCAGCCGCCAGAAGCTCGTCCGTCATTGCCGTCCGGATGTACTGTCATGGACTCGTTAGCGCGATGTAATGATGGTGAAAGAGTGAAATCTTACACCGGGCGACAACGTGTTGACTCTGATGCCGTACTGGCCCCATTCTTGCGCCAGCGAGCGGCACATCTGCTGGACAGCCGCCTTGCTCGTGTTATAGGCCGAACATGTCAGGCCCTGAAGCTGTCAGTCATCGTTTTCGCGAAGTAAGCAGACGGTCGAGCACATACCCTGTTGGCAATCTGCCCCGACATGCTCGCAATAAGCACGACGCTACCTTCTCTCTTGCGCTCCACCAAGATCCTCGCTGTCTGTTTGGCTGTCACGAAAACACCGACGACATTCACCCTCTGGATCCGCTCAAAGTCGGCAACAGGATAGTCTAGCGCCGGCACCTTCTGTTGAATACCCGCACAGGCAATGGTGCCGCCAAACGGCGCGCCTCGGGCTTCCGCGGCGGCGTCAATGTCCTCAAGAACGACACGCGTGGCGTCCTCGTCCGTCACATCGCAGCGATGATAGGAGACGTGCTGGCCACGCGCGGCGGCGAGCTTGGTCAGGTGCGCCCATTCGACAGGCGAGGGTGACTCCAGAATGTCGAGACAGGCGGGATGGCCTCCTGCCTCGAGGACGGCGAGGGCAAAAGTGATGCCGAGGCCACGACCGCCTCCTGTGATGGCGATGGTCTTGGATGACAGAGAGAATAGGTTCGTGACTGGTGTTGAGGATGCCAAGGGATCCTTCTGTTCAGGGAGGGGATAATCTGGGGAGGCCGGTAGCGCGATGTCGCTGGTTGCCGCTGGGGGAGCCATGTTGTGATTGTGTTTGCGTAAAGACTAAAGTCAAGAGCTTGTGTGTAGCTTCAGGTGCACGCTTTTACCCAAGTCGAAAATGATGGGCCAACAAGATGAGAGAGTCGGGACGTTCTCGACGGGATGCAGAACGACGATCGTTGGCGTTGTTAGGCTCGCTGAAGTCATCGTGGGCAAAGTGAACAGCTACTTACCATATCCATATATGATGAGGGAGGGCATGGGCAAATTAGGGAAGTTCGCTTGGCCTTTCATGGCAGCTGCAATCGGCCAAAGCATGAATTCCATGCCGAGATTAACGATGAAGGTCGAAGCGCAGCTGCAAGCGCATGCAGAAACGCACAATGTATGGTCGTCCCTTGAGGCCACAGAAACTGTTGGGAATCTCGGTTCCGGACCTGGGGCAGTTGCAAGCGCAAACAGTGGCAACTAAAGATTTCGGGGTGCTTCGGAGTGGTAGCCGATCCGACCTCCCTCACAGCGCGGGACCTAAGGGCGACTGAAAGGAGCCCCGCCCCCAACGTGGCGGGGCTCGACAGAGTAAGGAGGGGTCGTCTGCACTTTTTCCATCTTGCATCTTCTTGCCTCAAAACATGAGGATTGAGACGATGAGTGGGCAATTCTTGCGCTTCGTAACAAGGATCAAGATGGAGTTGTCATTTCCAACATCATCAACAGTATGGCCAATACCCAAACCTCAGAATCGATCTGGTCATCGTCCGACTGAACAGTACTTCAAGTAGCCCGACTCAGGCGTCTGCCCCGCCTCGAAGCCTAGCCTGGCGCTTGGGAATTCCCCTTTCGTTCGGGTCTTGACCAGGTCCTTTCTCAATTCCGTAATGTTTGGCACCTGAGAACCACTTCGTCCGTGTCACATCCCAATTCGGTCTTCCGAGCCACCAGCAAGAGATGTCCAGCCATGACTGCCGATATATCTAATGGGCTTCAATGCACATGGGGGCTGCCTCGTGCTTTCCTGTGTCCTCCTCTGCTGTCAGAATTCATTTGCCGTTCTCAACGCTCTGCCGACGACTTCGGGCTCTTACAGCACTCAAAAATCACTGAACACCAGACGGATCTCGTACCTGCACAATGGCTCCTAGTGCAGTCCCTGTCGTCGATCAGGGGCTCGTCGACCTCAACGCCATTTCTGCCGTCAACGGTGCTAAGCAACCGAACACCTTCTCGCTTTCGACCACACAGAAATACGAAGTTGATCATGTCCTCAAGACGTTCCGCTGCCTCATTGCCGATTTGTGCGAGCAGTTCAAGGGTGGCCACCCAGGCGGTGCCATGGGCATGGCAGCCATTGGCGTCTCGCTCTGGAAGTACATCATGAAGTACTCACCATCAAATCCCAACTACTTCAACCGCGACCGCTTCGTCCTATCCAACGGCCACACATGCCTCTTCCAATACACATTCTTGCACTTGACAGGCTACAAGAACATGACACTCGACCAGCTCAAGTCCTACCACTCGACTCGTACCGACTCCATCTGCCCCGGGCATCCTGAGATCGAACACGAGGGCATCGAAGTGACAACGGGTCCGCTCGGTCAGGGTGTCGCCAACGCTGTCGGTCTCGCCATGGCCACCAAGCATCTTGCTGCCACGTACAATAGGCCTGGTTACAATGTGGTCGACAACATGACATACTGCATGATTGGTGATGCCTGTCTGCAGGAAGGTGTGGCTCTCGAGGCCATCCAACTTGCAGGCCATTGGAAGCTCAACAATCTCGTCATCATGTATGACAATAATCAGATCACCTGCGACGGTAGCGTTGATCTCTGCAACACAGAAGACGTCAATGCGAAGATGGAAGCTTGCGGTTGGGACGTTGTGTCCATCGAGGACGGTAATTGGGATGTCGAGGGCATCGTCAAGGCCCTTACCCGAGCTCGTGCTAGCCAAGAGAAGCCTACGTTCATCAACATCCGCACAGTCATCGGCGTCGGCAGTGCTGTTGCTGGCGATGCCAAAGCTCATGGCGCGGCTTTGGGGGTCTCTGATGTCGCAAACGTCAAGAAGAGCTTCGGCCTGGATCCTGAGAAGCATTTCCACGTCTCCGAGGAAGTTTACAACTACTTCAGTGAGGCCAGGGAGCGCGGTGCAAAACTCGAGTCGGACTGGAACAAGCTCCTTGACAATTACACTCGCGACTTCCCCGAGCTGGCTGCTGAGTTCAAGGACCGTGTTGCTGGTCGGTTCACCGCCGACTACAAGTCGCTCATCCCCGCCAAAGAGGACTTCCCGTCCACACCCACGGCGTCCAGGAAATCGGCCGGTCTGGTGTGCAACCCGCTGGCAGCCAAGCTTCAGAATATGATGGTTGGTACCGCCGATCTCTCGCCGTCGGTAAACATGATCTGGAAGGGCAAGGTTGATTTCCAAAATGTAAGTTTGTGCCGTGTCTTTTCCAAGAGTGCGCTTGCTAATTAATTGCAGCCCAACCTGAAGACAGCTTGCGGGATCAATGGCGACTACTCTGGCCGTTACATCCATTGGGGCATCCGCGAGCACGCGATGGCTTCCATCTCCAACGGCCTCGCTGCCTACAGCAAAGGCACGATCCTTCCCATCACTTCCAGCTTTTTCATGTTTTATATTGTGAGTACTCGGTTCCTGCTTTTGGCTTCGTGCTCCTCTGACCAAGATAGTACGCCGCCCCTGGTGTCCGCATGGGTGCCCTGCAAGGCCTTCAGCAAATCCATATCGCAACGCACGACTCTATCGGCACAGGCGAGGACGGCCCTACACACCAGCCTATTGCTCTCGCGTCACTCTACCGCGCCATGCCGAATATCCTCTATATCCGCCCCTGCGACAGCGAAGAGACGGCAGGCGCCTTTTTGGCTGCACTAGACGCTCCGAATACTCCGTCTATCATCTCCCTTTCCCGCCAAAATCTTGAACAATACCCCGCTCACACATCCCGCGACGGTGTTCTACGTGGCGCTTATGTTTTCCAGGAAGTTGCGGATGCGGATGTCACCCTGATCGGCATTGGGGCCGAAATGGTTTTCGCCGTCAAGACGGCTGCACTCCTGGGCGAAAAGTTCGGCATCAAGGCGCGCATCGTCAGCTTCCCGTGCCAGCGCCTCTTCGAGAGGCAGAGCATTGAGTACAAGCGTGAGGTACTCCAGTACAGGAGCAAGGCGCCACGCGTCGTTATCGAAGCCTACGCCGTCAACGGGTGGGAGAGGTATGCCGATGCTGGTTGGTCCATGAGCACATTCGGGCACTCGCTGCCCGGACCGGCGGCGTACAAGTACTTTGGGTTCGACGAGGCTGTCATTGCACCCGAGGTTGCAAAACTTGTCGAAGAAGTCAGGAAGGAGGGCGTTGAGAGTTTGAGGGGCGAGTTCAGGGATCTGAACAATACAAGGCATTAATGACGGGCGCCGAACGAAAATGTAGCATTTGCAGATAGATGGCTAGGGTGGTCACGGAGTTGGAGGCTGCATGTTTTAACGAGTTGTTACACGAAAATAATGAAGTACCATTTTCAAAGTCCGCCGCCAGCCGAACTGGAGGACATCGAAAACCAATTCTCATGGTCAGTCCAGCTCTGGTTGACGACGCGACAGGGGACACCAGACGAGACGAGCTGGCAATAGCGAATCACTTGGTGAGCGGGTTACATCCGTCGGGATGATGATCTTGGCTCAGAAAGATTTGCTAACCGTTTTCGCTGTAGTACGGCTGTCGGCCTCAAGCAAAGGCGCTTCCACTTGCCATCGATCGTCTTCGGTTTGAGTCAACAGCTCTCATGACCACTCACCCTCCACACCACCTTTCTTGGCCAAATGCGCTTCGAGTTGCCCTCCCATCCCCACACGTAGAAGCTATACTGGATATTCTCGCTGCATCTCGACGAACAACCGGGACAACACGGCAAAGCACTGGCGATAGTACCACATCAATCTTCTGTCAAGCGGCTCGATATTTGTCGTTACGTCTCGGCAGGCTCATCAACTCGGCAGAGATGCCCATCTCATGGGGGCCGCTCGCTTGCCAACCACATCACCCCTCCCAACATGCCTGACGAAACTTTCTCTTCACCCTCGCCGTCCTCTCCTCTCTCTACATCCATACCGAGGCCGAAACCCAAGAAGAAGCGGACCCGCACAGGGTGCCTCAATTGCCGTCGCAAGAAGCGCAAATGCGATGAGGCCCACCCCTCGTGCAGCGGCTGCGCTCGGCGGAGAGAGGTGTGCAGATGGGGCCTCAAGGTGACGTTTCGGGACGAAAACGCGCAGACAATATGTAGGGATCACCCATCTATGAAGGTTCCAAAGAGGCGACCAAAGGGGTTCGAAATCCTAGACGTCACGGATGAAGTTATTCGGGAGTATCACAACCCAATTGACTTCGAGGTGGACAGCGAGGAGGGGGAGTCGCCGCGATGTCAAGCCGTGCCGTCGCCTGTGAGGAGGAGGAGGTACGAGAAACCAGGAGGCAGTCGACAGCTTTGCTTGCCGATGGAGAGGGCAAATCTTAGAAACCAGGAACCGACCGACTTGGCCGATTTTGGGGATTCGCCTTCGGCAGCCTCGCACATTATCACTGACAGTGCTGTCGCTAACCTCCTGCTCTTCAGCCAAGGTGGAGCGAATGCGTCGCATGACCTGGCAAGCTCCTTGTCGCAGCACACCCAGTTCGACTCATTGGAAAGGCTACCGGTGAACCCTATTGTCCACGAGTCCCCGATTCTCGAGCAGGTCTTTGATTTTGGGGAACAGCTCTTCAGCCCTGAAGGGTCATACGATGATGGCATCTTCCTGCCGGGATCGGCTTACCATGAGCTGCACTCGACCCTCAGGAACCACCTTATCCAGGAGGTGAGGTCTAACGTTCCAACACGACCTGGAACCCCAACCCAAGGTGTTGAGGATGTCTACAAAGAGCACTCCGTCAGGTCGGGCACATCTTTAACAAGCGACGAAGTTCTCATCCAGAATGACCTAGCCTCGGACCATGAGCCCCCTAGTCTATCCAAACAAGAGGAGATTGTGTTATGGAAGAACTGGTTCGAAGAGATATCGCCGTGGCTGGACAAATTCGACAACCAGTGTCATTTTCAGAATGTGCTGCCCACCTTGGCTCGTGACCACGACCACTTGCGATATTCCATGCTCGCCTTATCGGCTCGACAGCTCGAGCTCAAAGACTCCAACCGAGCCACAGACCGCAGCCTCGCCCTTTACCAGGAAGCCATCCATCTGCTCCTTCCCCAGCTCTCCACCCGAACGACGCCAGTCATCGCTTCGTGCGTCGTCCTCTGTGTTCTCGAAATGTGCAGCTGCTCCCCCAAAGCCTGGCGCCGCCATCTCGACGGCTGCGCCAGTCTCATGGAAGCCGTGCAGATGACGGGCTTCTCCGGTGGTCTGGAGCAGGCCCTCTTCTGGTGCTTCGCCCGCATGGACGTCTGCGGCGGTCTCATCTCCTCCGTCAAGACCCTCATCCCCGCCTCCCGCTGGACCGGCTCCCCACGCAGCGCAGCATCATCCCTCGACGCCGACGTCGCCCTCTTCCGCTCGGCCACGACGTTCGACATGTGGGCCAACTACTCCGTCTACCTCGTCGCCCAGGTCCTCGACCTCCTCGCACCCCTGGCCGCGGCCAACCCAGGCGGTCTCTTCTTCGACGGGCCCCGCAGCGACGCCGGCTACCGCACGTCGTGGGCGCGCCTGTGGCGGCACGTCGAGGCCTGGCACGCCCTCCGCCCGCCCGCGATGCACCACGTCCTCGCGACGCCGTCAACGCCCTCGGACCCGTTCCCGACCGTCCTCTACAGCAATGCCGCTGCCGTGTCGGGCAACCAGCTGCACCACACGGCCGCGCTGCTGATGCTGCAGAACCGCCCGCCGGGCCTCAGGCTCGCGCCGCGCCCGAGGTCGGCCCTCTGGCACGCGCGGCGGATTTGCGGGATCAGCATGACGAACCACCACCACGGTGCGTGGACGAATAGCATCCAGCCGCTGTGGATCGCTGGCCGGTGCATGAGCCATCCGGCCGAGCATGCGGCCATTCTGGAGCTACTGGGGAGGATCGAACGTGAGAGTGGGTGGGGGACTAAGTGGCGGGCGGATGATCTCAAAGACTTCTGGGGGGACCTGGGGGAGGATTGAATTCCTGCTCTAATTTGGTGTTTTTCGGCATAGGCGTTATTGAGCTGGATAAGTTGTCGTGATGGATGCATTGCATTGTAGATGGATGTTAGTGGAGTGATCGGAGCGAGGGAACTCTGTATGCTTGTGAGCAAACATGTTGGAATAAGGGTAACCGATCAGTAAGTAAATTCAATGAAAGCAAACAAGTAATAGCTGTTCTCAGCCAATGCTATGTGACTTCTGGTATTTTAGATTTCGTTGCAATACGCTGTATCATCTTCCTCACGTGCCAACCAGAGGTCCAGGCCAGGGCACTGCTACTGGTCTTTTCCGGCGTCGGATGTGCTATGGCCATGTCAACTTGACATCGACACCGCCTCTTCGTGACGTTTACATCCGCGACTCGATCTCCCCACGTCGCCTAGGCCTAGGACGTCAACAGCAAGTCGACATCAGACACGATGCTCGAATCATGCCCTGAAGCAGGATCTGACACTTGCATGGCCGCCCCTGCGGCTGTGTCTGAGCTTGATGAAGATATGCCCTGCTACGCAATCACCCGAATTTACCTGGAGCAATCTTGACACAGACTCCACGATCATTGTCATGTGTAATGGCAATCGGCTGGTTGTTCATCTCTCCGAAGACAACTTCTCGGACTCGTTTCAACTAAAAGAGAAATACCTGTTCTTTCTCAAGGTTGCAGACGAAGGCGAACTGGATGGCCAGACAGTTGATGACTTTCTGGACTGGGCAATCGAACCATTCCTACCAGTGCTGCGAGGGCTTCCGAGAAAAGGGGTCAGTGTATCTACCGAAATCACTCTTCGCAATTATTTTTCCGCCGAGACGTCGGTCTACACCTTGATGGACACAGTAGGCGAGCTATCTCCAAGCCAGCGTGAACCGACCAAGGAAGACATGGAGTGGATCGGACTTGGTATACCTCTGCCACTCGATCTGTGCTCAGTACGGCAATGCTTCAAGCCATCCAAGGTCATAATCTGCGCCGAAACCCCCGAGCACGCGCTCGCAGGGAAGCCGAAGAAAGTCAGGCCGGTCGGCAGCTCAGTTTCATTCTTCCTCAAATGGCTCCAAGCTGGGGACTTGCGCTCCGCATCTCGTGAGCTGGCCACTTACCAAAAGATAAGCAAGGCGACTCTCAGTCCTGAAGCGCGACTTCCACGTCTCCACGGTCTGGTACGAGACGAAAGTGGTGTGGTTTTCGGACTCCTGCTCTCGTATATCAACTGCAGAGCCAGGACGCTGACCTGCGCCATGAAGCCTCATACGTCTACCGCTTTGAAGCAAAAGTGGAAGAACCAGGTTTGCTGCACTGTCGAGGCCTTACATACGGCTGGTATTATTTGGGGCGACGTGAAGGCGGACAACGTGTTGGTCGATGAGAACGACGATGCTTGGGTCACCGATTTCGTCGGTGGATACACGAAAGGGTGGGTGAAGAAAGAATCAGCCGGGTCTCTGGCTGGGGATGCAGAGGGCCTGGCCAACATTCTGAAGACCATCGGTGTTTAGGGTCTTGATCCAGAACGCGGTTGGCAGCAAAGCAGACTAGTCTTTCTCAGCGTCGCCACCGCACTCTCCAGGACGTTTTTCAGAGCATCTCTTTTCAGGGTCGTCTACAGATGCTCTCTGATGTCCTGGCTGTTTAAGATCACCCTCTGTCATGTTTCGGGGCAAATGTAAAGCAGACTCTGAGCTACCCACCCTGTTGTTGTGGGAAGCTTCTTCCTCTTCAAGTATTGAGGCCTCGGAAGGACTAAAGAGATACATCAGTGCTACTTGTAGTCCCAATGCGCGGTACGATACATTGAAGAATTCCCTATCTCTGAGAGCTAGGCCCCGAACAATACTTCCAAAAAAGATTCTCAGTGGAAAACCCGATTTTCATGTTAAACATCTGAAGCTCGAGTGCCTGGATTGTTCTTGATGCGGCGGACATGTGTACGCAATCAACGTAACTACCCATGAAGTTTGCGCATTGGCAAGAGAGAGACAAGAAAGTCACCAAATTGGCAATAAGCCACACACTCATAACAGTCTCTTCATTGGGCTTATGGAGTGCTTGGAAATAGTCGCTTCCAGTCTTGCATTTCAGGATTGACCTCAGGACCGGCGAGTATCGCCGTTGTGGGAGCCTGCTGGCGCAACGGAACACCAACACTGGCCAAGGACGAAATCAGAAGCGCCGTCGGCCTTCAATCTCACGCTCTGGAGTCTGTCTGCATGTTGGGTGTTGTAATTTTGAGCCCCATCCCGCCGGTTTTCGTCCTCACGTTTGCCAAGCCAGGCGTGCAGTGCAAGTCTGGTCGGCTAAGCGGGCAAACGTCATGGCACCGGCGTTCTGGCGGGTGAGGAAGTTCCACGCGATCACCCTAGCAATGTCTGCCCACGCCGGCTGCGGACTTTGCCCTCCGGCTCGGGCGATCGGCGACGGATCCGACGCTGCTGCGCTTGCAATTGCTCTACCAGGCTGCAATTTGACTGCCGAGGATTGTTTCACCTAATATTGGCCGATCCCGCGAGTCATTCTGGCCCAGGAAAATGGTCTCATCAGGGCTGCATACTTGAATCTCTTCTGCCCGTGGGGTCCCCGCGAGTGTGGAGAGAGAGGCCCGAAGGCAGGAATAGTCTGGAATGATGCGGTGTGCGTCCGATTCGTTCTGATACCGCGTCAGGTCTGATGGCATTGAGGTGATTATAACTACCAACAAGACCCACGATACCCAGAATCCAAGCGAATCAACATGACATCTTTCCAGCTCTGAAAGCGGTCTTCCACTAAAATCATCATCTCACTTTGTTCATCGCCCAAGGTTGACGCAGAATTTCCAATTTGTTTCCCAATCATTGTCTCGTCGTCTGCTGTCTGACGGCTGCAGAAGAACACCATGGTTTTCCTCACAGGGAAAGCCCTGCAAACGCAGATCACGATAGCCGCAGGCTCGGGATTCTTGCTCTTCGGCTTTGATCAGGGCGTTATGAGTGGAATGCTCACCGGCGATGCCTTCACGCGAACCTTTCCTGAGATTGACACAAGCGATAATGCCAATGGCAGCGCTAATTTACAAGGTCTCGTAGTTTCGATTTACGAGATTGGCTGTCTTTTCGGTGCTCTGATCTGCCTCTTCTGGGGTGAACAGCTTGGTCGTCGCTGGAGTATCATGATCGGGTGTGTTGTTCTAAGTGTCGGTGCCGTGCTTCAAGCGTCGGCCTATGGCATCCCGCAAATGATTATTGGGAGAATTGTCGCTGGCCTGGGCAACGGCATGAACACGAGTACCATTCCTGTTTGGCATTCGGAGTTGATGAAGCCAAAGAGCAGAGGCAAAGGCCTTGCCATTGAGCTGGCTATCAACATCTTCGGTGCGCTGCCCAGACCCCCTCCCCCTCCCCCCTTTACACGGACGAATAACGAAGCTAACGGCTGCCAGGTGTCGCACTGTCTTACTGGACAAATTATGGCATGAGTTTTGTTGCCAATGATGCTCAGTTCCGCTTCCCACTTGCCCTGCAGATCCTATTCGCTATCATGACGTTCCTCACCATCGCCTTCGTTGTGCCAGAGTCGCCTCGTTGGCTGATCGCCCACGACCGTCACGACGAGGCGCGGAAGATCTTGTGGGCTGTGGAAACAGACGCCAAAACACTGGATCCAAACGGCTCTCGTATCAATCAGTATATGAGGGAAATCCAAGATGCCGTTCGTGAGGAGCGTGAGGCTTCACAAGCTGGCAGTTACAAGATGTTGCTTCACGACGGACCTCAAAGACTGCGCTACCGGACGTTGCTTGGTATTGGTGGCCAGTTCATGCAGCAAATTTCTGGAATCAACCTCATTACTTATGTGAGTATTACCTCTGCCCACCCTCCCAGCCTTAGTTCTCATAGTCTGCTGGAAGCCCATGATTCGAATGAACTCTAACAAGGATTACTAGTACGCACCAGTCATCATGCAGAAGTCCGTTGGCCTCGAAAGAAACCTATCCCTGCTACTCGCCGGCTTCAATGGCATTGCGTACTTCCTCACATCACTGATCCCCATCTGGATCATCGATCGCGTGGGCCGCCGCAACCTGATGCTCTTTGCCGCTGCTGGTCAGTGCGCTTGCATGGCCATTCTCTCCGGCACCGTCGCAGACGGGGGCAAGTCGGCAGGTATCGTTGCCGTGGTCATGCTGTTCCTTTTCAACGGCTTCTTCTCCGTCGGCCTCCTCGCCATCCCGTGGCTGCTACCGGCCGAGTACGCCCCGCTCACCATCCGAACGCGTGCCGCAGCCTTGGCCACGGCGTCCAACTGGCTCTTCACCTTTGTCGTGGTCAAGGTTACGCCCGTCAGTATTCAAGATGTTGGCCACCACACGTACACCTACTTTAGCGTGTTCAACTTTGCCTTTCTGCCGCTCATTTGGTTCTTCTATCCCGAAACGAAGAACCTGACACTGGAGCAGATCGATAGGCTGTTCACAGGCGATAAGGTCTTGATGCATTGGCAATCGAGCATGGGAGTTCCTGGGGAGGTCGAAGTGTCCGACCACGATAAGGATTACGAGGCGGGAGCTCCTGAGCAGGTCATGCATGTCCAGGGAGACGAGAAGACCGTTGAAAAGGGGGCTTGAGGTGGCTACTGCAGAGATCTGTTTGGAAAGTATGTGACGGCTCTCGTCCTGAACGATGAAGCCTCGACCATGAGTTGACGGGCATCAGGGTATGGCTTGTGTTGGAGGAACCTGGCGTGGACTGTGTCTCTACGGTCTTTTTCTTTTTCTTTTTCTTTTGGAAATCAGGACTGAAAGCCATGTATGTTGTGATATCTTGATGCCCAATTATTTCAGATCTCTGATTCCAAGACTGGGTCGCACTGTAAGCTACACTTTCCACAGACTTGATCACGCCCGCACGGGTATCACGCGAAACGATGAGAATGGCAAGAAATAATTCAACTTTGTGTAAGCGAGCCAACGCGCCAACGCCATCCTCTGCCACAAATCATGTCG